CATATACATATATATATATATATATATACATATGTATGTATATATATTTGACTCTGTGTTTTTTTTCTTTACCAACAGTGTATTTGGTGGTTGTCAGTGCATTATAAAGACACAAAACATTATCAACATTATATCAGTTACTGAAATATACTTTCTTTTTTTTTTACTGTAAATTTAAGTTCAATTCGTAAAACCTAAAATATTACCATGCTACCACATTTTTTAAGGTAAATTTCAGGTAACCACAGTTACCATTTTTTTTAATCGTAAATTTCACTTCATTGGACTTTTACTTTGCTGCGGAACACACACACACACACGAAAGGCAACACCGGGGACCCTCAAAACACAGCGAAACTGAGATCCGAAAGCTGAAGCAGCAGAGAAAACGACAGACGGAGGAACAGAAATGCAGCTGAATGCTTCTTCCAGTGATCACACACACAAACACATGACAACCGCCTCTTTGGCATGCATGGAGATGAAGGCGTGTGGGATCAGGCATTCGGGTTGTTCCGCATGAGCTCGATGTCTGCGTCCACCATTTCTTTAACAAGCTCCTGTTGGAATACACACACACACACACACACACACACACACACACACACACACATTATTTCTCAATCTCGAGTGCACTGGAAGTGAACCTCTTTGATTTTTTATACAGGAACGCTCACCTCGAACGTCACACGTGGTTTCCAGCCCAGGATCTTAAAGGCTTTGGAACTGTCTCCCTGTAGGAAGTCCTAGAGAAAGACAGAAAGAGAGTGAGACGGGGAAAAAACAATGACGAAAAAGGAAAAAAAAAAGCAAAGGGGTGGTTTAATTCTTCTTTATTAACTGGACCTCCCAACACACACACACTCTTCTTCACTCTCACACACCCACATACAATCGCCAGCACCACACACACTCCGTGTCTCTGGGGGAAGGTGAGGGCCGAGGCAGGCCATCCATCCAGCACCCCCTCTTTTCCAGCCCTCTCTCAGTGCCAGAGAGCATGATGGATTGTGTGACTCTTGTGGCCTAGCCCCTTCTGTTCTCCTGCTGGGACGGCAACACTCACACCCACACACACATACATTTAAAGGTGCTTCTCAGGGTGGCAGTAAAGGGTTTGAGGGTGTCCTTGCTGCTGATCTGATTACACAAGGAGCCAGAACACACACATACACACTCACAACAGCACTTCTGTGCTTTGACAAATGAGAGCTCTTGTTCCAAAAGCCCATATTTTTATGCCGAACCCTGTTACAGTCACTAACTCATGGTTCCATTTTAGCTCCAATTAAATCATTTAAATGACATAACCATATTTTAAAGACTAATTAGCGAAATAGCATTCATTCATCAACATGTGAAACGGCATGTAACCATCATAATCAAGATACGTATTAATGCGGCATATTAATCATAATTAGTCTTCACTTTTCTGAAAGCTAAATTAACATCAGCTGCTTTTGTCGCCCATCCAAGTTTTCACATGCAAACAACTACGGTACTGTGTCCGACAATGTAAGTTTACAAAGTATTTCAAAGGAAGGAAAACTAAAACGGTATTAATTAGATGAAACCGAAGCATTGCATGTGCATGTGAATCATGCGTTGTGTGCAATAGCTGTTGCTATTAAATAGAAAGTCAGCAAGTCAAGACATATCGAAGGCACAGTGGAAGTTCACAAGCAGATTTTAGTTTCAAACACTGGGCGTCTTTGCTTGTTTAAAGAAGATATCTACATGCGTCAGGGTTTAAAACAGAAGCCGCACCTGCATATATGATAAATAAAATGGAAATAAACAATAAATAAAAGTGATAGTCATCATCTGGGTACATTTTTATTGTGTGTGACCGAGCACTTAACGTAAAGGAATTCAGGACTATTAGAGAGACAGACCTTCACAAACATCAAGCAACTTTTGTTAACTTACAGCGTGGCTACACATGACATTTGAGACTTTAAAACTACTCTGCATGCATGCATGTTTCATTGAGTTTTAATATTTCTGAGACATGCATCAGGAAAAAACAGCATGCTCTAACAAACTGTTATAAACACGCACACACAGTAACGGTCTTGTGCACTATTTTTAGGACAGCGGAGTCAGAGGTCAAACCCACAAAAGCAATATGACCAGATTGACAAAAGTGGGTTTCAAACTTCCTTTGATTACCAAATCCCTGGATATGTGTGTTTGTATTGTTCATAAACATGTCCAAATCAGCCATTACTGCTTTCACAATGTATTATTTTACTTAAATCTAGATTCTATTTTATCAAGATATCTACAGATAAATAAAAACATTATCCTGATTTCTGTGTATATATACATGGTATTAATTAGTTTTTTATATATATATATATAAATTATATATACTTTTATACACACAGACACATATATACACAAAAAAAGTTTGGGTTCAGTATGATTTTTTTAAAGGAATTAAGTATTTTATTCAGTAAGTATACATTAAATTGATCAAAAGTGACAGTAAAGATTTTTTTCTATTTCAAATAAATGCAGTTCTTGTGAACTTTCAAAGAATCTTGAAAAACTAAATTGGCAGTAAAACTTTTCCGTTTCAACATGATTTCTGAAGGATCATGTGACACTGAAGACTGGAGTAATGGCTGCTGAAAATTCAGCTTTGCTAACACAGGATTAAATTGCATTTAAAATATATTCAAAAAGAAAACATTTTACTTTGTAATAATATTTCACAATATTACTGTTTTAACTGTACTGTTTACTTGATCAAATAAACATAGTTTGGTGAGCATAAGAGACTAATTTTGAAAACAATTTACTGACCCCAACCTTTTAGAACGGTGTTGTATATATAAAACTTATAGATTTCGGAACAAAACATTCATTTCACCATTTTCATATGTAAAAGAGACAGAGTACAATGCAGGAAAATCTGAATCAACACAAAGGAGAATGTCTCTATCTCAGATTCTTGTTTCAAGTGTTTAATAAATATTTAGATGATCATGTAAACCCTCTCCAGCAAAGAGACACTAACACCAAGTGTCTGACACTTTCAATGCACGTGTACGTGAGAGACACAAGAGCAAAAATGCTGAATCCCTCGAAAGTACATGGTGAAACAGAACGAGAAATCCACGGCTGTTCGACAGACTTCAGTATGTGCCGTGCAGTTTTGTGTGTGTGAGAGTTGTGTTGTTTGATGCAGGATGTTTAGGAGGGATCAAAGACTCTAATGATTTCCCTTTTCAAACAACAGCCAATCACAGAGCAGAAAAACTAAAGAGCGACATCAAAAGCCTGAGTGCAAAAGTACATCCGAATCTATACAACCTAGTGTCAATGTGTTAAAAGCCAGACTTGAACGACAAGCATCTGTATGAGTAACACATAATCAACGGTGTGTTTATTACTGAGGACCTGTGTGTGCTTACATGTGGTATTGGCAGTGTGTTTGTGTGTTTACAAGCCTCAGAGAGCTGTATCTTCTCAAGCAGTACAAGAGCGTACAAGAGTCCTGCCTGCCAGCGAGAACGTGATTCACCTCATTCAAATGACCCAGATACCTTTTCAATTTTCATCTCACCTCCTTTTATTGTGCTTTCACCGTGGTTGGGGGGAGATCGAGAACTACACTGTAAAAAATGCGATCATAATTTTAATGATAAAAATAGCAAAAATGCTATGGTAAAAACCTGTTAATTGGCTACAGTAAGTTTCCTTATAATGTACATTAATAAAACCTAAAATATTACCATGCTACCACATTTTTTAAGGTAAATTTCAGGTAACCACAGTTACCATTTTTTTTAATCGTAAATTTCACTTCATTGGACTTTTACTTTGCTACGGAACACACACACACACACGCACGCACGCACGCACACACACACACACACACACACACACAAAAGATATTTGGACTGTTTGTTTGTCTATACAATGAAAGTCAGTGGGCTCCAAAACAACATTGAATTTCATTGACTTTCATTGTATGGACAAAAAAAAAAAAAATATATATTTTAAACTTGTGTTCCACAGAGGAAAGAAAGTCACACAGTTTTGGAACAACATGAGGGTAAGTAAATGACAGAATTTTCATTTTTGAGTGAACTATCACTTTAACACTACTAGAATTAGTATCATGGGCTCCTTTACATTTCTAACTCGTGTGGAATAAAAAAAACAGTCTTGACTGGAGTGATCGAGATTGAGAGAAGAGGAGGAGAGAGAGGACGGAGACAGGAATGACATGGAGAGAAAGGAAAATCATGATAAATTGAAAGCTCAGAGAGACGAGCTGTGTGAAAGTTAGAGCGAGAGAAGAGACAGCGCGAGGGAGAGGGAGTGAGGAATGCGAGGTGTCAGGAGTTCAGCAGTCTGACAGAGTGAGTAAGAGTGCCGAGAGCCAGAGTTAATTACTCAATCAAGATAACGAGCCTGGGACATGCCATTTACAGAGGGCAGCCCACAATTAACCTCCCCTCTCCCACTACACACAGCCGTGAAAGTGCGAACATGCACACACACCCATGAGGTAATTATGACACATGGCACAAACAAACACTGGTACACAAATTAACACACATTTGCACACAGTCAAAGACACCTGCTGGGAAGAAAATGCACAGGATTGTTTTGATCACTCCAAATGAACAGGCTTGTTTACTTATTGCTAAATAGTGAATGGCTAATTTTACTTTAAGTAACATATTTAGTTATTTGCATCTGATTTCGACCTAGTTTAAAGAAATATTCCAGGTTCAATACAAGTTAATCAAAGTAGACAGCACTTGTGGCAAAATGTTGGTCATCACGAAAATAAAATTTGACTTGTCCCTCCTTTTCTTAAAAAACAAATTACAGCGAGGCACTTAAAATGGAAGTGAATGGTGCCAATCTATAAACGTTAAAATACCCGTTTCAATAGTATAAGACAATAAACAATAAGTGTGTTGACAATTTTAGTGTGAAAAATCAAACAATTTTACAACTTCATTACCATGACAACGTACAATGGTAAACATTATTTAAACCGATATAATACATTTACAGTTCATATAATACATGAGAATTAACAGAAGAATTAATTTGACTGCTTTTATAAAATTATAAGCATTACATTTCTACTTTTAAATCCTCCAAAATTGGCCTTGTTCACCTTCATTGTAAATGTCTCACCGTCATCTTGATTATTTTTTTTTTTTTAGAAAACGAGGAACATACAGAAATTATTTTTGAGGTAATCAACATTAGACCACAAATGCTATCAAATGATCTTAACTTTTACTGAACCCTTTAATGTTGCAACCTTTTAGTTTAAAAGACATCTAGTGATTTAATATCTTCACATTCTCTACTGCTTTTCCTCAAAAGGGTTTGTCTTTCTTCCCTAAACATTTAATTTATAAAAAATTCACCTGTTTACTGGGGATCTTTACACTTGGCTTGGTTTTTAAGTGTTATATTCTCAACTCTCATTCTTTTTTAAAAGCTCCTTCTCTCTCTTTCCCCTCCGTGGGGCCCAGGGTGGTTCCGCTCAGTCAAAGTCCTTCAGGAAATACCAGAGAGTAGGCCAGGGGAGAACGTACACCCCTCTCTCCCTCTTTATTTTTTTAGTTCTGTTCTCTCTCTCTCTCTCTCCCTGATGCCTCGACAAAAACGGAGTGCGAGACAGAGTCGCACTGTTAAAAAAAAAGTCCCGGGGCGCGAGGTAAAAAGTGCCATGTAACGTTATGAAAGTGAGTTAAGCTCTACT